TTTTTTTTTTTTTCAGTAATGCTAATTTATTTTAATCTTGAAATATTCAAGGAAAAAATAAACTAAAAAATACCATTCTATCTTCACAATACAACATTTCTCTTTATATTGTGTCTGTTATTTATTATAATTAAACTACAAATGAAACTATAAGATAAATTTCACTGGTGAATTCTACACACATATGAAGACATTTTTCTGCCTCTGAAATCCATACTCTCCCTCCATTTTGACTTGTTGATTGTTTATTATATTTACCCTAATAGTATTTCCATCATATATTTTACATATATTATCATATTAACATTCCTCAGTCACATGCTAAATCATTAATTAATTAATTAATTTAACTATCTTTTACATTCATGCTTTTGCTTGCTGTGATCGGCTGTGACAGGTTCAGATAGGGGAATCTCTCTATTATTTAAGATGTCAAATTCTAGTTTATATTACCCTTTAGGACTAAAAGTAGGATTTGGAGAACTACAGCATTTATAAAGTAGGACGGGCAGGGCACAGTGAAAATACCACAACAGTATAGGCGCTTCACTGCTGTGATGCTGCCCTTCCAGATTTCCACAGGCACATAAGCCTTTCATAGTGTTTGTGACACTTGAACGACTATTTACACTGATTCCGAGTGGTAGAAAATAAAGATGTCAAGTATTTCAGTTATCATCTCATTTCTGGAATTCATAAACAAATTGTAAAAATGTTCCCATTTACCATCTTCTGAAGTGCTTCCTGTATACAAGGCACATTCTACACAATAAAGCCAGCCTGGGATCTGAGGAAACAAATGACACAGTCCCGGGAAGGGAGATGGAATATGGATACAAATAAGAACACAAACTACCCAAATTCTCCATATTTACTATAGAAAAATGATAGAGTTTAATATTGAAATGAGTTTCAAGTTACACAATCATTCTCACATATATTTTACAGAGCTGTTAGACAAGCAGCAGAACTAATGCACCCTAAGGACAATTAACTCAAAGTATTTCTTCCAAAATATACATGGTCCTCTACAATGGTAAAATGTACTAATATTGAATCCGCACTTTCTTTTCCTAAAAGAAAAAAGTCAAGATCTTATACAACTTGACTCAGTATATAAATTCTCAAATAATACTGAAAATACTTTATACTTTGTTTTTCCTGGGTTTTCCTGTTAATAAACATTTACTGTTTATTATGTTATCATAAATGCATCACATGACCAGCACTGCGGCTCATTAGGCTAATCCTCCGCCTGTGGTGCTGGCATACCAGGTTCTAGTCTCGGTCGGGTGCTGGATTCTTTCCCGGTTGCCCCTCTTTCAGTCCAGCTCTCTGCTGTGGCCTGGAAAGGCAGTGGAGGATGGCCCAAGTGCTTGGGCCCTGCACCCCATGGGAGACCAGGATAAGCACCTGGCTCCCGGCTTCGGATCAGCGAAGCGCACAGTCGCAACGCGCTGGCCGTAGCGGCCACTTTCAGGGTGAACCAATGGAAAGAGAAGACCCTTCTCTCTGTCTCCACTGTGTAACTCTGCCTACAAGAATTGAAAGTCTCTTCAGAGTCCAAAGCAGAACTTGGCTCTTCTTCCATTTTTATTGGAATCTCCTCCTGTCTGTCATCTGGTAGCACTTCCTGAGCCGGCCGAGGCCGGCATCCTGCACCGTGGCGTGGCGCGGCGCTGTTCAGGTACAGGATCCTGTAGTCCTCGGCCACCAGGACTCCAGGCTGCTGACAACGACGTAGCTGCGCGGGCCACGGCGTCGGGGTCAGGGCGGCCGCGCCCGGCCCAGCCCGGGCCTCCCCCGTGGGCCTGAGGGATCCGGGGGTTCCCACTCCGGCGAGGCGCGGGGCTCGGAGGAGGGGGCCACGGGCGCTGGGGAGGAGCGGGGGGCCTCTGTTCAGTTCTTGTCTCTGCCCTTCACTGCCTCCTCAAAGGCCTCCCACTATCAGAGATGACCCTTTCTAATCCCTCCTTCACAGACCTGTCCAGGTAGTTAATATAAAGCACAACCCAAACTATGTTCCTCCTCTCCTTAAAATGACATCCACAGCTCTTCTCCTCCCATTTCCAAGGATGCACAGAATCCCTAGAATGTCAGTAAGCATCCTTTCACAACTGCTGACCCAAGACAGAGAGTCTGGGTAGTGGGCTTCCATGCCTCAGTCCCTGAATAGTAAACTTGTGGTTTCCCTTACACGTCACACAGTATTTGATCACCATGGCTTTGTTCACACCTCTCCCTCAACCACCAACTACCCCTCAGCTCTGCACCACTTCCTCCCCTCCACACACATCCTCATGTGTGTATGCAAAGGTGCATACACACACACACACACAAACACACAGCTTAGCCAACTCTTCTTCATCTTCAAAGGTAAAACTAGGCACTCATTCCTTCAGCTAGACATTCAATTCCTCAAGAAAGTTTTTCTTGACTTCCTCTCCTTTATCTTACCCCTTCCCCACTCCCTACTCCAACGCTGGCTTAGGCCCTGTTTTTTACTCAGCCCCCAGCCCCTATGCACACCTCTCTTGGCCCACTTCCCACACTGTATCATAGGAGAAAATAAGCTCCCTCAGAATAGACCCATGTTTTATTCTCTATTGTATCCTTAGCACCTGCCACAGTGCCTGACATTCAGAGATGCTCAGTAAACCACTGTAGAAGCTAACAGAGCCTTGAAGACAAGGTGGAGTTAGTAATAAGGAAGCACACAAGGCTTTAGTGTGGAACAATGAAATGACTAAACTTCTAGTTGTGGACAATTGTTCTGGCAGCAAAATGCTGACTGTATCAGAACAGAGGGCACCTAGAAGGAGCTCTGAGAGTTTTGTTTAATCCAGAAAATATTTATTGCTTTAAAAAGGAGAAAACTAACCACAGATTCTTGATAAGTGATTACTTAATTAATTAATAAATGTATTGAGCAATTCTAAATAAAAGGCATAGTGCTAAGTAATGTCCTTGTCCCCAGGAAACTTATAACATGATTAAGGAAACAAGACACAGTCTTAAGTCAAGGCAGAATATGATGGCAAAGACTCATAAGAGAAGAACAAACGAAATAAATGGCAACTCAAAGAAATGGGAGGTGACTTGAGTTGAGACCATCAGAGGCTGTGTTATAAAGGGACAGCATCTGAACCAAAACCTTCAGGAAGAAGGTACGTGTAGGGAAGGAGCAGACAAAGGCTGCACAGTGTAAGCAAAGGTATGCAGAGGGCAGATGTCCAGGCATTTCCAGGTATGTAGGACAGCTTGAGTAGATGAGAACAGGACAAGGTACAAAAGGGAAGACTAGGAACTACAGCTGAAAACACAGGCTAATGTCAAGAGCATTGGGTAACAAGTTAAGAAATCCATGCTTTGTTTTGTAGGCAGTGAATGGCCATGGAAGCTTCAAGCAGGAGGGAGAAGAGGTGATATCTCACAATCTGCTTAGGGTTTTATGAATCTGGCCATTCTACAGGATTTTTTTTTTTATTTTTTTTTTTGACAGGCAGAGTGGACAGTGAGAGAGAGAGAGAGACAGAGAGAAAGGTCTTCCTTTGCCGTTGGTTCACCCTCCAATGGCCGCTGCGGCCGGCGCGCTGCGGCCGGCGCACCGCGCTGATCCGATGGCAGGAGCCAGGAGCCAGGTGCTTTTCCTGGTCTCCCATGGGGTGCAGGGCCCAAGCACCTGGGCCATCCTCCACTGCACTCCCTGGCCACAGCAGAGGGCTGGCCTGGAAGAGGGGCAACCGGGACAGAATCCGGCACCCCGACCGGGACTAGAACCCGGTGTGCCAGCGCCGCTAGGCGGAGGATTAGCCTAGTGAGCCGCGGCGCCGGCCCTACAGGATTTAAGGGAGGGACTTGGAATACACAACAATGCTCAAAAAAAAAAAAAAAAGGCACTTCCCTCCAAGACAGAATGATCAATGAAGCAATAGCCTGGAATCTGGGAGAAAAATTAGAACCAGAACATAAATGTAAGGGTCAGATAGAACATGTCCTCCTTTGAGAATGAAGAGGTGAGAATGCAAAAAAATACTTAGGTAGTCAATATTCTCCATAAATCAGTTGGCTGTCCACTAACAGTAAGGCATTTTGCTAAGGAAGTGGGGGTACAGGAAAGCAGCAAAAGAATGAAGCTCCTCTCTTCTCAAGACCTGAGTCTTGTTTTTGAGTCTCTGGTCTGGGCCCCAGAACCCAAAAGTGATGTGGGACATGGAACCCAACACAATGGTGAAAGTTGAAACAAAGAAAAAGGAGAGAGAAATCACAGAGAAAGAAGGGAGGAAGGCCCAAGGACAACCGTGAACATCACTCACAGTTGGTCAATGGCAAGAGGAAGCAGCAGCAAGAGGAGAGGAGAATGAATGAAGAACATGAAGAAGAAAAAGAGAATGAATCATTGGAAGAGAATGAAGATAAATTGTGCTGCTGAGAGAGCATTAACAAATCATCCATCTTGCCCACACTGTCAGGTTTAATGACTTCATGAACATGATACTGGGAGATAGAAGCATGCCAGAAAATAGCCATATCCTTCGCATTTTTCACTTTGAAATTCATGGTTTATAAGTAACAGCCCGAGTTGAAAATGTCAACAAAACAAACCAAGTCACTGATTCATCTCCTCTTTTATTCTGAATTATTCCACTCCTACAATAATTATTTTACCCCACAAGTCCCCTTTTAAAAAGGTGAAGAATCAGATTCAGAGTATCTGGTGATTTTGTTCCACTTTCATTTTTCCAGCTTATTTTTATATTACACCTACTGATCTTCCAGCAACACAGTTTGAATGGAAGCCACAACAAATACCCATTATTCATTTCCTCCTTTCTCTGGTGACACAGATTCTCATCAAGATATATATAGGCTTTTAGTCAGTCGAACCACTACATCTGAGGGCTGGCCAATGACATTTCCCAAGCATGCTGCTCTGACACTGGTTCTTCCCACAGCCCTGGGGTTGTCTGAGCCAAGGCAGGGCCATGCTGCCCACCTACCTGCATGAGTTCATGGCTTTGCAGAAGATCATTCTCCAGCATCTCCTGAGTCAGGCGCCCCATGGTGCTGTAGAACTCGTCTGCTGTTTCACAGCATTCTATCTGCCTGCACGAAGAGAAGACAGACAAAAGGACTTGAAGACACCCATGCTGTACAACAGGTGGTGCATGTACAGGGCACATACAGACCCTTGCCATCAAGTCAATCAAGCTGGCAATCAACAAAAATCAAAACCTGGGCTACACTCACAGTGCAGCTGCTGTGTGTAGAGAAAAGATAAAAAGTGCCACAGGAGGCCAGTGTGGCAGTGTAGTAGGTTAAGCCTCCACCTGCAGTGCCAGCATCCCATATGGGTGCCTGTTCATGTCCTGGCTGCTTCACTTCTGATCTAGCTCTCTGGCCTGCAAAAGCAGTAGAAAATGGCCCAAGTGCTTGGGCCCCTGCACCCATGTAGGAGAAGAAGCTCCTGGCTTCAGATGGGCACAGCTCCAACCATTACAGCCATTTGGGGAGTGAACCAGCAGATGGAAGATATTCTCTCTCCCTCTCCCACCCTCCCTCCCTCCCTCTACCTCTCTGTAACCCTGCCTTTAAAATAAATAAATATATCTTCAAAGAAAAGATTTGTTCATTTGAAAGGCAGAGTTATAGAGGGAGGGAACGAGAAAGAGAGACAGATCTTCCACATGCTGCTTTACTCTCCAAATGACTACAACAGCCAGATCTGGGCCAAGCTGAAGCCAGGAGCCTGGAATTCCATCCTGGTCTCCCATGTGGGTAACAGGGACACAAGTACTCGGACCACCTTCCATTGTATTCCCATGACCAGGAAGCTGGAACAGAAATAGAGCAGCTGGGACTTAATGGGTGCTCATATGGGATGGCAGTGTTACAGGTGGTAGCTTAACTCTTTGGGCCACAATGCTGGTCACAAAACGCAATTCATTCTGTAGAAAGTTCCTCTACGTTAGTTTCCTTTAGTACTTTTTAAAGATTTATTTTAGAGGCAGAGTTAGAAAGAGATGGAGAGACAGAGTAATCTTAGTATACAAACAACATCATGATAGGTGAAATGGAAATACCTGGGGCTCTTTGCTTTGGATATTTCCCCCTTTCCCTTTCTGTAGAAGAAAGACTAAGTCTAACCTGCCTCACAGGTTGCAGGTGACAGATTCTTTATCTACGTACTGAGCTGGATGCAAGAAGCAGGATGTAATCTCCACCAAGCAACAGGGCCCTGAGAACTCAGGAAGTTCTACTTGTGAAACATCCTATAGACTGATGACTATAGATGGACATGAGAGGACTTCAACATGTCCATGGAAAAATGAAATTAAAAGGTAAATTTAGAGCAAAAAAAATGAAATCCACATAAACAACAGGTCATCAAAAAGTTCATGAAAGATGTGTATTATGGGCCGGCGCCGCGGCTCACTAGGCTAATCCTCCGCCTAGCGGCGCCGGCACACCGGGTTCTAGTCCCGGTCGGGGCGCCGGATTCTGTCCCGGCTGCCTCTCTTCCAGGCCAGCTCTCTGCTGTGGCCTGGGAGTGCAGTGGAGGATGGCCCAGGTGCTTGGGCCCTGCACCCCATGGGAGACCAGGAAAAGCACCTGGCTCCTGGCTCCTGCCATCGGATCAGCGCGGTGCGCCGGCCGCAGCGCGCCGGCCGCGGCGGCCATTGGAGGGTGAACCAACGGCAAAGGAAGACCTTTCTCTCTGTCTCTCTCTCTCTCTCACTGTCCACTCTGCCTGTCAAAAAAAAAAAAAAAAAGATGTGTATTATGAAAAAATTGTACCTGGAGTTCCAAAACATTTTGCATCAAAATCAGTTTACATTTTAATTCCATTTCCTACAAACCTCTGAAGTGCCCTGATACAAAGCTTCAATGTTATTCAGGTGTACATAAACTGAAGACTTACACTATGCTGTTTATGGCAAGATCCAGGTTTGAGAACCATTTTTGCTATCAGGAGCTGTGTGACCATGAACCAGCTGACCACTTCCCTGGAGTAGTTTTCTCACTTGAAAAGACAGGGAGATCAATCCTGCCCACTTCTCAGGATTGCCAGGAGAAGTGCATACGACAATGTGCTTACACTGCCTAACAGAATGATGGACACTGCCGGCACGTGATGATGCATGATGGTGGCTGTCCCTTCCCCAGGACAAGCTGCACGCTCAAAACACATTTAACTACCATGAGCAAGAACTCTGAAACATTCATTCTGTCCAATGCATGCAGTCCCTAAATGTCACACACAGTAGCCAGTTACTTTCACCAAATTCACATCTTTAGAAGCACAGGTTCTAGAGCCAAGATGCCTGGTTTCAAAATCAGGCCCTTCCACTTCCTAATGGGGTAACTGACTGAGCTTCTGTGCCTCAGTTCTATTTGCAAAATGGAAATCATAATAGTGCACACCTCATAGGGTGGCGTAGAATAAATGAGTTAATACACCCAGAGTACCAGTCCACTACAAACACTCAGTGAACACTGGCTCTTATTTACAGCTATGATGATTTTAATAATGTGACATCGCTGGCACGACTATAGGAATAAATCTAATCCTACAGAAAATGAATAGATGGGAACAAGACCAGGACCACATCTTTTCCTCTTGATCCATCATTAATAACTAACACAGGATGCACATTTGGCCTAGCAGTTGAGACATGATTTAAGAGGCCCCCATCCCATATCAGAGTGTCTGGGTTCCAATCCAGTTACCTGAATGAGTAACTGGTGCATCTTTGTAGTTTGTTTGCAAAATAGTTAAAAATATTGGAAGTCTCCAGGAATGAAGCCCTCATAAATAAAAAGGCAGTTTAAAAAAAAAAAAAGGCTTTCTAGGGGCTGGCGCTGTGGCGCTGTGGCGCAGTGGTTAATGCCCTGGCTTGAAGCGCCAGCATCCCATATGGGCACCTGTTTGAGACCCAGCTGCTCCACTTCCAATCTAGCTCCCTGCTATGGTCTGTGAAAGCAGTAGAAGATGGCCCAAGTCCTTGGGCCCCTGCACCCCCGTGGGAGACCCGGAAGAAGCTCCTGGCTCCTGGCTTCAGATCAGCACAGCTCCAGCCGTTATGGCCAATTGGGAGTGAACCATTGAATGGAATACCTCTCCCCCCACCCTCTGCCTCTCCTCTCTGTGTAACTGACTTTCAAATAAATAAATAAAATCTTTAAAAAAAAAAAAAAAACATTGCCAATGATTTATTAGCTTTCTGACATGTTGTCGTTCATAGTTCTAATAAAGAAATACTTACATTTTCTCTGCTTCTTTTTGTTTATTTGAGAAACAGAGCTCTCCCATGTGCTAGTTCACTCCATAAATGCCCATGACAGCCAGGGCTGAGCCAAGGCTGAAGCCAGGCCCCTATAACTGAATCCAGGTCTCCCTCAGAGACCCAATCCTTTGGTCATCACTGTCCCCTAGGCATTAGCAGGAAGCTGGAGTCCAGAGCCTTTGGCACTCCAATATGGAACTTGGGCATGCCAATGGGTGTCTTAATCATTTGGCCAAAAGCCTGCTCCACTTCTTTGCTTCTTACATTACCCAAAAGGTAAAATTTTAATGTAACAATCATAAAATAGTAGAAATGATTGAAGAAAGTCTATGTTTTTCACCTCTGCTACTAACTAAGATGCAAGAAAAATCTACTTGGCAATATGCATCGGCAGTGCCAGATTTCAGCACAGACTTAAGTCTTGATAAAAGGAAAGCACTTTCACAAGTTCCACTACTGTGTGCCAAGCACCGTGTTTATCTCATTTAATTTTATCACAGTCCTGAAAAGCAGAATAAAAAATGTAACAAAAATTCATAAACAATCCAAATGGAGTTACTAACAAATCAACCTACTCATCCCCAGCTCTTCCACCTAAGTTCCTCTCTGTCTTCCCAGCCAGCATCCTGAGAGTGAACCAGCCAGGACACAAGCACAAGGGTGTGGTGGGAGGGTTGGAGGTGGAGGAAGAGAGGAGAAGCTCCCGACCTGAGGAAGCCACATCCACACACTCCGTCTGATCTAAGGATGTGCCAGCTGACGCCCCAGAAGGCTACAGCAACTGAACCAAGTTCACAACTTTCTCTTTTCCTCCTGCTTAACTACCACTGCTTTACCCATTCCAGTGCGTAAGTGCTTACGGCTCTCAACACCACAGTGCAGAACAAGACAGAAGAGAATGGAGCGGGGAAATCACTTACTCTCCCAATTTTGCCCAAATAGCCAGCGACACCCTTAGGATGATTTCTGACCCTTCGAAGAAGACTGAATCCCAAATCTTTAACACTGTGTGGTTAGGTAGGCACGTGGCAAAGAGAGTCAGAAACCACTGCATCGTGAAAACATTCGTAAGTGGGGGCTCATATCCACCTGAAATAAAACACACACATGATTCCCTCGACATAAACACCCTCTTTCAGTTTCCCAAGTCCATCTAAATATGCCAAGCTTCCTAACTGATCTCGTCACCTTTCTAAAGCTTGCCCTTTCCTCCTTTTCTCCCCCATCTGTTTCTGGAAGAATATACGTGTGCAGAATAAAAACTCAGTGACATGAACTTCACAAATTCTTCATGGTTTCAAAAATCTTAACCTACTTACTCTTAATTAAACTTGCTTTGGATCTACATTTTGTAGGGTGTTGAAAATTAAGGAGGTTTTTCTCACCAAAAACAGGATTAAAAGAAAAGATTTTACTTTCTCAAAAACAAAAACCAGGCCAGTGCTATGGTACAGTGGATTAAAGCCCTGGCCTACAGCACTGGCATCCCATATGGGTGCCAGTTCAAGTCTCAGCTGCTCCACTTCTGATCCAGCTCCCTGCTGATGTGCCTGGAAAAGCAGTGGAGGATGGCCCAAGTCTTTGGGCCCCTGCACTCACGTGGGAGAGTCAGAAGAAGCTCCTGGCTCCCGGCTTCAGATCAGCTCAGCCTTGGCTGTTGCAGCCATTTGGGGAGTGAACTAGTGGATGGAAGACCTCTCTCTCTTTGTCTCTGCCTCTCTCTGTAACTCTGCCTTTCAAATAAATAAATCTTTATAAAAATATTTTAAAAAGCAAAAGCCAAAAAATTTTACATATTAATAAAAAATTTTCAATTAAAATAAGGGGCAGACATTTGGCAGAGCAGTTAAGTTGCTACTTGGGATGCCCACACCCATATCAGAGTACATGGATTTGAGTCATGGCTCTACTTCCAATTCCAGCTTCTTGCTACTGCACACCCTGGGAGGGAGGGAGTAGTGATGGTTCAAGTACTTGGGTCCTTGGCACCTATACGGAAGGCCAGGATTCCAGGTTTCTGGCTTCAGCCTGGCCCAGCCCCGGCTGTTACAGGCATTTGGGAAATGAACAGGCAGATCCCTCTCTCTCTCTCTCTCTCTCTCTCTCTGTGTGTGTGTGTGTGTGTCTGCCTTTCAAATTAACTTTTTAAATTAAAAACTTTTTAAAGAAAAGCAAAAGCCATCAGGATTTTTTAAATATTATAAAACCCACTTTTATTCAAATGCTGCTGAAAAGAATACAACTGCTCATTATAAATTGTCTGCCTACATCTTAAACTATACATAAGTATCAGGTCACAATGGAATTAAACTAGAAATCATGGATAGGTAGCTGGAAAATTCAGAAATATTTAGAGACTGTACAACAATTAAGTTTTAAAAGACTTTGAACTAAATTATACACTGTTTAAAAATCTGGTACCCAGCCTATTTTGAAATTTTTGATTTCACTAAAAAACATAGCACACTCTCTCACTTTTTAAGATAACATAGTATGCATTATAATTAAATAAAAATTTAGATAATTAGACTGATTATCCTTCCAAATTACAGTCAGGAAAAACAATCACCCAAATTTCTTTGCTCAGAGATTAGGATATAAGGTTGTTCTCATGGCCAAGTGCAAAGTGCATAGGGAAAACCACATAGCTCAATGAAGTGTGTCTAACTCGGTACAGGCAAGGTTGGTCTTCCTGGAAGGAAGCATCATTACACCCATGCAGGTACACAGTTATGCTGCACACCAGACCAAATGAGAAGATTGTTGGCTCAGAAGGAAATGCTTAGAGACATCTATATGCAGATTAGATCCTCAAAAGTCTTTAATACATTTCCAGATTTAACAGTGTGAGATCAGAGTTGGCTGGGAATGCACTCTCCACAACAGGATCCAGCAATCATTTACAGGAAACACAAGAGCTTTTTACATTATTTTATTTACTTGAGAGGCAGAGAGTGAGCAACAGACATACAGATAGAGCTCCCATCTTCTGGTTCACCTCTCAAATGCCCACAATAGTGCATATGAATCAGATGAAATCATGAACCAGGAACTCAATCCAAGTCTCCATTGTGAGTGGCAGGGGCCCAACTACTTGAGCCATTACCTGTTCTTTCCAAGGGTGAGCGTTAGCAGGAAGCTTAAATCAGAAACAGAGCTAGGACTGAAACCCAAGCACTGCAATATGGAATTTTTTAAGATTTATTTATTTATTTATTTGAAAGTCATAGTTACAGAGAAAAAGAAGGAGATACAGAGAGAGACCTTCCATCTACTGGTTCACTCCCCCAGATGGCTGCAACTGCCAGAGCTGGGGCAAGCCGAAGCCAGGAGCAAGGAATTTCTTCCAGGTCCCCCACATGGGTGCAGAGGCCCAAGCGTTTGTGCCATCCTCTGCTGCTCTCCCAGGCCCTTAGCAGGGAGCTGTATTGGAACTGCAGCATCCAGGACTCTAGCTGGCATCAATATGGGATGCCAGCTTCGTGGGTAGCAGCTTTACCCACTATGCCACAGAACCGGCCCCCCAGTTTGAGGGGTCTTAACAAGTAGGCCAAATGTCCACCCCAGGAAACAAAGGAACTTCTGACAATTGTTTCTGGTATCCTGAACACAAACAAGGGAGTACAAGAAGTGGGTATAATTAGGGCTGCTAGCTTAGGTTCCTCTGATAACTGGATGACACCCACCAGACACAGTGATCCTCCACTCACCCAGAGCTACTGTCCCATAATCTAAGTAGTTCACACAAAATCATGTTTGTGCTAACCTGTATGTGTAGCTCAGCTTTAGTGAATTCTTGAGAGTTTGGTGCCAGCTTAGAGTGACTTAGCTAGCTGTTAAGAGAGTACACTATTTGGCTGGCGCCATGGTTCACTAGGCTAATCCTCCACCTACAGCGCTGGCACCCCGGGTTCTAGTCCCAGTTGGGGCACCAGTTCTGTCCCAGTTGCTCCTCTTCCAGTCTAGCTCTCTGCTGTGGCCCGGGAGGGCAGTGGAGGATGGCCCAAATGCTTGGGCCCTGCACCCACATGGGAGACCAGGAGGAAGCACCTGGCTCCTGGCTTCGGATCGGCTCAGTGTGCCGGCCCTAGAGGCCATTTTGGGGGTGAACCAATGGAAGGAATACCTTTCTCTCTCACTGTCTAACTCTGCCTGTCGAGAGAGAGAGAGAGAGAGAGAGAAACACTATTCATCACCTAGAATACAATATATCATTTCAGTGTTGATCTGGTGCCAGTGAAGGGTTAGGCTCTTGGTTCCATGTGTGACCTTATATTTTTGCAGTTTTGTATTGCTTTTGTTTTCTAGAAGTCTATCTCACTGCACCAAACTCTTACCAGCAGAAATACCTGGAAACCTGTCTTTCCATTTAAGGTTTAGGCTCATCTCTACAGTGAAAGGGAGAGGTCAGAGGTTTTCAGAGGAGGAATAGCACTGAGTCATCACTACCTCCACTTTCTTTGTTTGCAGTTCTCTGAAGCATATCCAGGTGCTGAGATAATTCTGGGAGCTTCAATCTCAAGAGATCTCTGAAGACAGCCATATCCACAGACAATGCCCGGAGATTATTGACAAAATAGCTTTCAGGAAGTACCTTATCAATAAGGTAAATCATGATCTGAAGAAAAAGATAAAGAACAAAACTGTTTTTGTACAAATCAGGAGTCCAACACATTCTAAATAGAAATAACATATTCAAATAGAGAAAATGCCATCAGCCAAAGTACATCATGCTTTACATGTGTTGGTACCAAATGTTCTGGATTTTCAAGGCTCACCTACACCCTGAGGGGGGAAGGAGCAGGATAATTATCCCAGTAACTCAGATCTACAGTCTGCTGCTATCTGGAATTTAGAAGGACCTGAGTCCCCCATTATGGCTGTGGCTGCTCAGCCTCACTCTGAGAAATGACAAAGCACTCAACAGCCTACAAGAGCCTCAGTAATAGCTCCTTGAGATCAGAGCAGTTTGACAAACTCTATATGGAAACCAAGAGCTGGCCCATCATAAAGCAGCCCCTGAGGCAGGCCTCCAAAGTCACTTTCCATCAACATGGGTAATTGGAGCAACTGATGTTGGCTTTTCACCCACTTTTCTCTCTTGGGAGAACACAACTAGGTTTTGTTTGGACAAATGATATTTTGCTAAGTATATATTTCTTTCATGAGACTGTCACATAAGTCTTCCAAATTACTATTTCCATTCTGATTCTTCTATTTGTATTATCTTTTCTAAAATGTCAAGAACCACAAAAATGATCCAGGAAAGCACACACAACATTTTGGACATCCATCCTGGTCCTTCCTCCGTCCCATGCTTGCTCTATGTATAACCGGCTCTGGAAAAGACCAGCTCACTCCCCAGAGCACCAGAAAAACAAAATTAAAAACCAAATCATAGCTGTCCCTGTATGCTGATAACGAAATAGCTGTTTCACATCTTTTATTCTCTGGATACTTCAAAATTCTATTTTCAAAAAAAAAAAATTATCTTCCAGTCCTGCCAAGGCCCAATTTGTCTCTCATCCCTGGCTTATAATTTCAACTTTCAGGGTCATAGCTTTCAATGAGCCAATATGGATGAGTACATACTCTTGAAAGAGCCCTCCTGAGATCTCTCTTAGTGGGCAGTTCCAGGGAACCTCACTAAGACATCTGTTGTTAAGATAGAAGCTTCCAGGGAGGGCCAGGCATTGGGCTTCTGATTGAGATGCCTCTGACTCTGCCTCCAGCTTCCTGCTAATGCAGATCCTGAGGAGCAGAAGTAATGGCTCAAGTAACTGGGTTCCTGTCACCCTCATTGGAGAACTGGATTGTGCTCCTGACTCACAGCTTTGGCCTCAGCCCAGCACCAGCCATTATGGACAACTGGGAAGTCAACTAGCGAATCAGAGTGCTGAAAGCCAGAACTCAGCAACAGGAAAAGAAATATGAGGGGCTCTTCAAAAACTTCATGGAAAATGTGCATTATGAAAAGAAACACACATGGACATGTTAGACCAAATTGATTTATCTTTTCATTCCATTGTTCCACAAACTTTTTCAAGTATTCTTATTCAGCCTGTGTGGAGGGAGGAGGTCCCAGGTAGGAAAGTATAGATTTCCAGCAGGGACAGGGTGCCCTGGTGAGGACCTAGCACTCCATGGTCAGAAGAGGGTTTTTCAGGAACATGAGGAAAATTTTAAGGAAACAGTCTGTCATTTGTTGTACTGTGCATCTGAAGACAAGTTATACAATTATACAAGAAAAATATTCATGTTTTATTAAGAACTTATGATCCTTCAAAATTATTTGAAAACAAGAAAAACAAAAATAATCTAGTTAGCCTTGTAATTTTTGAGATGCAATGAAATTCTCTGACACCATCTCAAAGTCTAGTGTTAACAGAGAACATCAAGGGTCGGCACTGTGGCGTAGTGGGCCAAGCCTCTGCCTGCAGCGCTGGCATCCCATATGAGCGCGGTTCATGTCCTGGTTGCTCCTCTTCTGATCCAGCTCTCTGCTTATGGCCTGGGAAAGCAGCAGAGGATGGCCCAAGTGCTTGGGCCCTTGCAGCTGCATGGGAGATCCAGAAGAAGCTCCTGGCTCCTGGCTCCTGGCTCCTGGCTCTGGATCAGCTCAGCTCCAGCCATTGCAGGCATTTGGGGCATGAACCAGCGGATGGGAGACTTTTCTCTGTCTCTCCCTCTCTCTGTCTATAACTCTACCTCTCAAATAAATAATAAATTAAAGCTTTTTAAAAATTAGAGAACAGTCAGCCCACTCACTCTACTCACTCCACTCACTCCTACATGTCAAAGGCCAAATATTATATCTTTTAAAATAGATTAGTACAAAACAGCACTCTGGCCTCAGAATCAGCCCTTAAGGCATTCAGTTCTGGTTGAAGAGCTCATGAGAGTATTTCAGGCATGGAAAGCCAAGACACTCTGGCAAAAAAAAAAAAAAATGACCTAAATGAAAGATCTCTGTGAGTGAGATCCCAGTGGAAAGAACGGGCCATCAAAGAAGGAGGTACCTTTCTCTGAAGGGAGGAGAGAACTTCCACTTTGATTATGACCCTGTCTAAATAAGATCGGAGTTGGCGAACTTAAGAGGCTTCCATAGCCTTGGCAACTCACGACAAGAGCCTCGGGTGATTACTGATGCCATAAATAAAAGAGTGTCAATTGTTAACAACAGGAGTCACTGTGCACTTGCTCCCCATGTAGGACCTCTGTCCTTAATGTGTGTATTATGAGAATTAATGGTAAAACTAGTGTGGGTGCAAACTGTTGAAATCTTTACTCAGTATAGAGTTGATCTTCTGTATATAAAGATAATTTAAAATGAATCTTAATAAAGAATGGTATGAGAGGGAGTAGGAGGTGGGATGGTTTGGGAGTGGTTGGACAGGTATGGGGGAAGAACTGCTAAAATTCAAAAGTTATACTTATGAAATTTATATTTATCAAAAGCTTTCTATAAAAATAAATAAAATAAAATAAAATAGATTAGGACAAATAATGAGAGAGCTTCAAATTTTAACAGTTAACAAAATAATTACTAAGAAAAAGCAGTAAGTGCTGAAGAGCAGAGAAAATTGCTCACCTACCCCTAATAAACCACATGCAAAGTAGTAATTATGATTCACAGAGACCAAAAAGATGGTGGAAAAACACTAGGACTCCATATTTTACTCAGCATCAGAAGGGTTTCCTCATGAACTTGACCTTCCTCTGCATATTAAATGTCTAACCACAAGTTCTACACATTCCCAAGTGATGATGTCATCTCATCACATGGGGCTCATTTTCTTGGGGCAGAAATAAAAATACTTTCTCAGCTTTACCTAATATTTCCTTATGTGAATTTTTAGCTTCCCAAGTATCCCTGAGCTCTTTCATGCTTTTGATGTCTGCCCTCTTCCCCAAACTTCCCCAACCCACCCCAATCTGAATCACTTATTCCAACGTTTCAACAGAACAGATCCCATTTTTATAGTCATACAAGTCACATCTGAAGGGGGGAAATGACTAAAGCTGATAGACTGAACAAACAAAATTTCCTAATAAAAATTGTCTCAAAGTCATGTATTTGATCTGTCACTACCTTTCCTCCATTTGATGAACAAGGAGCTTTAAAACAGTTTCCTCAAATACATGAATGGAAAAAGTGAGAGGGCAAATGCAGACTTGGATCACAGCAGGCTGGTTTTATTGTTAGGTACAATGGGGTGTATGAAACCAGGAGGAGCACCTGTTTATTTTTCCATACCGCATCAGTCAGTGATTGAGAATAGCACCACGGCATTCACCTAGTCAAACACAGAGCTGGGCAAGGGGAGGTTCTGACTGCAAAGGCTAACCACGCACCTCGTCTATCACAAAGCAGTGCAATCAACAGTGGCTTAAAAGCTCAGATATGATTTGGCAACCTGAGGTTGCCCTAAGCAAATACAACAGTAGCCATCTCCACATTTAAAGGACTATTTCTGGTGACTCATTGAGTAACATTCAGATCTTTAAGCTTAAATAGCTGTTTTCCCACCTCAAAATGCTTATGGATTTTCTTTTAACTAAACAAGATTCTAAGGCTTTGAAGATTAAAAGATTATACTTCATTTCCATTACATTTCTCCCTGCAAACACCTTCCACAGACTCTCACCATCAGCCCGCTTCCTCCATAGCTTGTCTCAAAGGAATGGCCCAGAAGACAACCCAACCATAATTAAGTACAACTGGTGTGGTTGGTGATTTCTAATGAGACCCCCAGGAACCCCCACTCCCTGGTAGTCACATCCTTGTATTAGCCCTTCCCCTTGGAAATGAACAGACTATGGATAAACAATGAGATTTCACTTCTGAGATGTGGCTACAAATCTGTAACTTCAACTCTCCGCCTGGCTTCCCTCTTCTATTCTTGCTAACTCAGGGACGGCAGCCACCAGGTTGTGAGATGGAAGAGCCCACGTATAAGGTAATGAAAGGAGGCCTTCAGGAACCAGCAATCCAAAAACTAGGACCCTCTGCCCAACAGCCTGTGAGGAATTAAACCTTGTCAACAGTCATAGGAACAAACCTGGAAACAAAGTCAACCTGTCAGACGAGACCACAACCCCAGCCAATAGTTTGAATGCCACAGTGATGTGACCTTGAGCCAGCTGACTCAAACTGTGAAGTCATACAAGTTTGCTGTTTTAAGCAGCAAATTTCCTATACAGCAATGGACAATACAACTAATACTTAACTTGAACATATAATGACTTACATTAGTGAGACTAAAAACCCAATCATTCTCCTCACAGTTGGCAGCTACAGGAAGGAGTCTGTCAACTGACATGGCTTTAAACTGGGGGAAACACTATCACAGGTAACTACAAACGTGTGGCAAACATCACGGAGTAGGGTGGGGCATTAAAGAAAAAGACTTCTAATCTCCGACTCTCAGAAGAATTGCAGTTGCCTTCACCAGAGCCTGACACTCACTTTCAGTGCATCACCTTCGTTGCCTTCCATCACCTCCAGAATCAGCGCAGCCAGGATGTTAAAGCCTTGGCAGTACCCAACATTTTTGTTCCACCGGGCATAGGCCAGCAGCACCCGCTTCAGTACAACCCTGTCCTGCTCCGCCTCCTGGCCACAGTAAGAACTACAGCCTGTGCGGTGAAGATCCTAAAGTGAAGGAAAACAATATTGTGAATATAACTCTTAATCCACCCTCTGAAAACAAGTACTTTTAGACACTTCTTTGTCCCATCATTAAATAGAGTAAAATTATCCACATGCATTTAGGGGCTGGTGCTGTGGTACAGTGGGTATAAAGCCACCATCTGTGGTACCAGCATATTAGCATCGGTTGGAGTCCCAGCTGCTTCACTTCAAGTTCAGCTCCCTGCCATGGCCTAGGAAAGCAGTGAAGGATGGTGCAAGTGCTGGGGCCCCTGCACACACATGGGAGACCTGGAAGAAGCTCCTGGATCCTGGCTTCAGATCAGCCCAGCTCCAGCTGATTCATTCTTTCTCTCTCTCTCTCTCTCTCTCTCTCTCTTCCAAATAAAAAAATCTTTTTTAGAAAAAAGTCTCATTATATACTTATAATTGTATCTATGAAATATGTGAAATCTATTCTGTTCATATTAATAAAAAAGTATTTAAAAGAATTTCAAATTAACAGTAAAACTTGTCTTCAAACAGTACTTTATAATTTGTGGGTCTGTGTAGATGCAAACTGTTGAAATCTTCACTTAGTATAGAGTTGTTCTTCTGTATATAAAGATAATTAAAGAGGCCGATGCTGTAGCATAGTGGGTAAAGCTGCTGCCTGCAGCACCATCCCCTATGAGCACTCTTTCGAGGCCCGGCTGCTCCACTTCCAACCCAGCTCTCTGCTATGGCCTGGGAAAGCAGTAGAAGATGGCCCAAGTCCTTGGGCCCCTACACCTGTGTGAGAGACCTGGAAGAAGCTCCCGGCTCCCGGCTTTGGATCGGCACAGATGCAGCCATTGCAGCCAATTGGGGAGTGAACCAGCGGATGGAAGACCTCTCTCTCTCTCTGCCTCTCCTTCTCTCTGTTTAACTCTGATTCCAAATAAATAAATAAATCCTTTTTAAAAAGATAATTAAAAATGAATCTTAATGAAGAATGGGATGGGAAAGGGAGTAGGAGGTGGGACAGGAGTAAGGGTGGGAGGACGGGTATGGGGGGAAGAACCACTATATTCCAAAAGCTATACCTATGCAATTATATTTATTAAATCAAAGCTTTCTAAAAAAAAAGCATTTCAGTAAACCTAAATAATTTTTAAATAAGTATATACAGCTTATATCCATAAACATTTTTCTATTTTTTTCCTAATGTTTTATATTATGCTTTTTTAATAAGATTTATTTATTTATTTGAATGAGAGGGAAAGAGAGAGAATCTTTCATCCAATGGTTCACTCCCTAGAAGGCCCCAAGGACTGGAGCTGGGCCAGGCCAAAGCCAAGAGCTTCTTCTGGGTCCAAGCACTTGGACCATCTTCCACTGCTTTCCCAGGTGTATTTGCAGAGAGCTGGATCAGAAGTGGAGCAGTCAGGACACAAAGCAGTGCCCAGTGCTGCAGGTCCTGGCTTTAACCTCTGAGCCATAGTGCCCACCCCCAATATGCTTTCTAAGAGAGACTGTTGAATAGAATCTCAGTGAGACAAGTTTTCTCTGAAAGTGGTTCCAGACGCTATGATGTGGTTTAAATATAGTATACCTTCCCAAACTCACAGAGCAGCTTCAACTCTAAAGTCCTCTGTCAATGGTACTAAGGGAATGGAAACTTAATGCAGTTACACAGGACCTCTCGGAAGTAAAGATTGCCTTAGGTCATTAGGGTGCAGCCCCCATGATTGAACTGTGGTGGCTTTCTAGGAAACCATATAGACAAAGATCATGGTACTCCTTTGTCTCTGCCATAAGATGCTCTGCATCATCTTGGTACCCTGTTAGCAAGACTGCCACCAACCACAGGCTGAACCAATTGGGCCCACCCTGCACTGAACAGGGCACCTCCAGGCCCATGAGCCAAAATAAGCCTCATATCACTTAAATCAGGCTGCCTCAAGTATTTCATTACAGCAAGACATAACTGACTCATAAATAGAATTCAAAGAGTGATTCAATTACAAAATTACTTTATAATTTCATACAAATTGATGATTTGTCTCAGATAAAACAAGTCATTTCAGCACATAATAATAGAATCTAACATTATGCCTTTCTACAAAACACAACTTAGCATCAATACCTTAAACAATATTAAGGAGTAAAACCAAAATATCAAATACAATTTGTAATTTAGAAATACATAAAAATATTTGTCTAAGACAAAAAAAAATCCTTCCTTGTTTTACAACAATTTTAAATTTATAATTGTGTGTGACAAAAATAAGGGCAGGCCTTTCATACAACTTGTTAAGGTGCTGCTTGGAACACCCACATCCCATTCAGAGTGCCTGAATCCAAGTCCTAGCTCTATTTCAGATTCCAGTTTCCTGATAATGGGAGGAAGCACTTTATCCTCTGACAACTAAGTAGGAGACCAAGACTGAATCCCAGGATCCTGGCTTCATCTTGACCCACTCCCAGGTGTTGCTGGTCCTTCGAGAGTAAACCAGTGACTGGGAGCTCTTTCTGTGTGTGTGTCTGTCTGTCTCTACCTTTCAAATAAAAAATGAAAATAAAGATTTTCATGACAAAAACATTTGCCATACTTTCATATTTAATGAAGGTAATTTCTACAACTTAATTACCAAGAAGAAATTCTGATTTTCAGGAGTTGAAGCCATTTTACTGGCAAAGTATTCATGTCAATGAGAAAATAAATGATCCTCTTAATAACATGATTGTTACAAAATGTGTATCACACCAATTCAAAAGTAAAACGGAAAGAAAATATTTCAAATATTAAATACTTTGTGAAACATTCTGCAATTCCAAACAGCTGAAACATGGATAATGCAAAGGCTCTTTAGTACATAATGTAAAATTTCAATTTTTTTCTTTTACCATTTGTCTGAAACAGACCAAGTTAGATGAGAAAGTAGCTCATTTTATTTAGTACTTCCTCCTTAAAAAAAATCTTCAAATATGCCAACAAACATTAGCCATTTTGTGATGGCCAAAATTTGGATGAAACAACTTGTTTCTAAAATTCCATCTGGGAGTGGGTGTTTAGCCTAGCAATTGAGATGTCCACATCCCACATTATAGAGTGCCTGGGTTTGATTCTCAGCTCCAGCTTGCCACCAACACAGACCCTGGGAGACAGCAACGATGGTTCAAGTAATTGGGTTCCTGCCACCCAATGGAAGACCTGTATTAAACTCCAGGCTCCTGGCTCGGGACCCAGCCCAGCCTTGGCCATTGCAAGCTCTACCAGTGAATGAGAACACTCATGATCACATTGCACACATGCTTGCTTGCTTGCTCTCCATTTTTCTTTCTGTTTTTTCTGCCTCTCAACATAGAACTCTAGCTTAGCATCACATTTTCATGTATTTATATAAAAACGTGTGCTGGAGCCTTACGTAAGAGTATAATACTCGGATCAAATGGAATTAGCATCCCCAGCTTTTAGCACCAGGCTCTAATCAACTGTAATATTCTGGGCAGGTAAACTCTAGCTGCCTCCATAGCTGGCTTGAACCCTCAATAATCTGGTTTAAAGCAGAGTCAGTACAGGTAAGAAACTATCAAATACAAAACTTAGTATAGTTAAGAAAATATCAGGGACCAGTGCTGTGGCGTAGGAGATTAAGCCTCTGCCTACAATGCTGGCATCCCACTTCCAATCCAGCTCCCTGCTAATGCACCTGGGAAAGCAGCAGAAGATCCAAGTTCTTGGGCCCCTGCACCTACACGGGAGACCCAGATAAAACTCCTGGCTCCTGGTTTTAGCCTGGCCCACTCAGCCATCTGGGGAGTGAACCAGAGGATGAAAGATAGATCGATCAATCGATTGATCGATCGATCTATCTTCCTTTCTTCCTCCCTTTCTTCCTCCCTTCCTTCCTCCCTCCCTCCTTCCCTTCCTTCCTTCCTTCCTCTCTCTTTCTCTCTCTCTCTCAATATTTCTGCCTTTCAAATAAATAAATGAATATTTTTAAAAAAGAAAATATCAAAGACAAAACTAAATATAGTTAAGAAAATATCAAAGACCCTAATAACAGCCAAATGATTCTAGCACAAAGTATACTTTGAATTTCTCAATTAGTGACTTACGTAAAAATTAAATTGGCAGAACTGACCCAAGCTAAGGGGAAAAAAAGAAATCTCCTATCATGTGAAGAAGATAAATAAATTGAACATTAATGGAAACCCATTCACATTTTCATCTTACTGGCAATATTTAAATTTATGAAGAGAAGGCATAGTCAAGGTTCCCCATAAACAACTGTTAATGGGGCCAATGCTGTGGCAAAGCAGGTAGAGCCGCCACCTGCAATGCCAATATCCCATGTAGGAGCTGGTTCATGCCCTGACTGCTCCATTTCTCATCCAGCTCCCTGCTAATGCCCTGGGAAAGGAGCAAAGGAAGAAGGCCCAAGTGCTTGGGCCCCTGCACCCACATGGAAGACCTGGATCAAGCTCCTGGCTTCAGTCTACCCCAGCCCAAGCCATTGCATCCATTTAGGGAGTGAACCAGTGGATGAAGATATTCTCCCTCTACCTCTCCTTCTTCCTCCCCCTCCCCTTCTTCCTCTCCTCCTTCCCTACCTCTCTCCCTCTCTCCCCTCCCACCTTTCTCTCTGCCTTTCAAATAAATAAGATAAATCTTCTTTTAAAAAACTGCTAATTAATGAACTGCTGCAGAAAATACCGTAACACTCACATCACAATGTAGAAATCATTTGATCCTCTGCCCAGAAAACACAAGGCTCTTAGACTGCTCCTTCTATGCAAGGACCACAGGCAAAGCTCAGTGACATTACCTTGACTATCTGAATTCCCATCGAGTCATCATCAGGATTACTCCTCTCATTGAAAGTGAAACGCATGGTTTTGTCCCAGTCAATGGCTATACTGTGCAAATAATGATCCGCCAAGGTCAGCCAAACCTAAAACGTTACATAAAGAAGAATGCTAAAATAGAACACATAATTTCACTTTTATTAGAAAATATTTATTGTATCTAACAAAAAAAATGGAAACTGTTTCTAGTCCAGACATAACTTATACAGAGAAATCTACAAAGAGTCTCATTGAAATTTGTGCTGTACTGAATTGTAGCATTTAGGGCATTTATTCTTGCAATATATATATTTGTCAATTACTGATACCCTGCACCAAGCAACAATTTTGGCATTAGGGATACTATTAAGAAAACAAACCAGGGGATAGTGTTGTGGTGTAGTGAGTAGAGCTGCTGCCTGAGAAGTCGGCAATGCATATGGGCACCAGTTCGAGTCATAGCTGCTCCACTTCCCATCCAACTCCCTGCAAATGCACCTTAGAAAGCAGAAGATGGCCCAAGTAGTTGGGCCCCTGCACCCAAGTGGGAGACCCAGAAGAAATTCCTGGCTTCAGACTAAACCAGTTCTGGCCATTGCAGCCATTTGGAGAGTGATCCAGCAGATAGAAAATATCTCTCCCCCTCCCTCCCTCCTTCCCTCTCTCTCTCTCCCCCTCTCCCCCTCTTCCTCCCAACCCACTCACTCTCCCCTCCCTGTAACTGTGTAACTCTAAATAAATAAATCTTTAAAAAGAAAAAAACAAAAAGATTTTCAAATTTTATTTCAGTCCATTGAATTAGTTGTATACTTTTACAAGCTTGTTTACCTACTTTCTATGCTTGGTCAAGAGCCACCTGGTCACTCTAGGCAAATAGGTCCTTTTCATTCATAGAGTCTGCCTTTAGTCACCTCTCTCTCACACATACACTCCAAACAAACAGATGGGCTCCCATAATGAATAACTTCTTGGAAAGAATCACTGAATATTTTTACTCCTTGATAATCTTATCCAGACATATTTCAAAATGCCATTTTAATGTATGCTTTGAGGAACCCTCAATGCTAAATTTCCAGGAGTATTGAGACTAGGTATACAAAGTAATAACCTAGGAACAAATTTCAGGTTCTGGTATTTGGACATAATGTAGCAGAAATAACACCAATTACTATCTCCTGCCAGACTTCTCTCCCAAGCATCAGAATCATTCCTCCAAATGCTTTGATACTATCAACATAAACATCTAATAGGCATCTCAACCTGAACAGATCCAGACCTAATCATATGATGCACCACTACCCCAACTACACATACATACAAACACGCAAACACACATACTGCCCCTCCCATCTGAGCAAACAGTAACTCTGCCCTTCCTGTGACCCAGGCCAACATCTTGAAGTCATTCTTTTTTTTTTTTTTTTTTGACAGGCAGAGTGGACAGTGAGAGAGAGAGACAGAGAGAAAGGTCTTCCTTTGCCGTTGGTTTACCCTCCAATAGCCGCCGCGGCTGATCCGATGGCAGGAGCCAGGAGCCAGGTGCTTTTCCTGGTCTCCCATGGAGTGCAGGGCCCAAGCACCTGGGCCATCCTCCACTGCACTCCCAGGCCACAGCAGAGAGCTGGCCTGGAAGAGGGGCAACCGGGACAGAATCCGGCGCCCCGACTGGGACTAGAACCCAGTGTGCCGGCGCCGCTAGGCGGAAGATTAGCCTAGTGAGCCGCGGCGCCGGCCTTTGAAGTCATTCTTGACACCCCTCTCAACCTTCGTATTCAGTCCAATTACAGTCCACAAGGACCTACATAACCTGCTACCTCCTACCTCACACATTTCTTCTATGGCCCCATCTCCTACTGCTTCCCCCTTTGCTCACCATGCCCCAGCTCCCCGGCCTCTTGATTTTGCCTGAATACTCCCAAGATCTCCCACCTTAGGGTGCCTGTCCCAGCTGTTCCATCTGTCTGTAATGTCTCCCCTCGAGTAGCTGCACAGCTGACTTCTCATGTTCTTCAGGGTCCTACTCAAATGTTACCTTGCTATTTAAATCCCACTTTCTTATCCTCATTCTCCCACACCCTCCCTATTCTTTCTCTGCTTTGTTTCTATCCTCGACACTTATCACCATCTGACATACTTCATATTTTATTCAATGTAAGTTCCATGAAGACAAGAACGTTGACCTGTTTTGTTTTTTTTTTCCACTGCTGTATCCCCAGTACCTAGGACAAGACTTGGTACAGCAGATAGTCAATAAATGCCTTCTGCATGAACAAATAATGAAGAGACAGATTCCTAATTACTAAATCTAAAACATATTTTTGACATTACAGATGCTTTAAAGAGAGAGTGGCGACCCTATTGCATTTCAGCCTTCTAAGTCCTTCTTACCTTTCTCCTCCATTCCTTGGGTATTCCAGTCGATAGCCTGGCAACTGCCTTGAGAGCATCATACCACTAGGAACATAGAAGGAATGTCAGGGATGTGATAATACAGACCAAGATAAGCCCTTTTCAATGTTCTTCCCATCTTGACATCCATAGAGTATGGAACAATTTGTACAGCACACTGGAATAAACAGTCAAATCTCTCATTCACAAAGTGAAGCTCCATCTGGGAGCTATGACTGTGCTTCGACACCATTAACACAGCTGTGACCCATTTTCAGCACATGCACAATGCTTGGGAAACTCTGGTTCAGAGACCAAACATATTGATGGGTTCAGAATTATAGGTTTTAAAATTTGTTCACACTTATACCATTAATAGAAAGTGCAACATTTTTCATTGCAAGTATATATTCAGGACAATTTTAGCTTCATGTTATTTTATCTGAAACTGGAAAAAGAAACCTGACTCATCATCTTACACATATCAAAGTAGATACTAACTTTCCCACCTTGAAAATATATCTCAATGTACACTGTTGGTACCCCAAAGTAAGAATGTTTTCAAAATGGAAAGTAAAGTTACCTGCTGAAAACCATTTTGACCTAAAGATGGCTCAAGGGTAAATTTCAATTTTGTATCAACCCCTGAAAGAAAAATAAGTAAATAGTTATTATTTTTGGAGACTATAACAAATTACATCAAAAACAAATGGTTGATTCTACTGAATCAACATAAAATTTTTTCAAACATGTATTTTCACTATATTTCAGTTAATTTTGTTCAAAGGAAAAGCAAATATATTGATGACCAAAACAGGAAAATATCCTACAGCAATAGAATGGAACTTATCATAGGATGGAAATTTTCACAGCTGCCTGAAGATATGAAAAAGCAAAAACAAAGACACAAACTTGGCGTCACATTCCCTCCACTCAACTTTGGTTCCCAGACTTGAACAAACTGTTTCACCTGTCTCAGTCTCATTCCTGTATCTTTAAAATGAGGACAATAATGCCTAACTCAGAAGGTTGTTGTGATGATTAACTGAACATGGTGTAATTAATAATTGTGAAACTTAAGAAGAGAATTCCCAACTCACAGAGTTCATTTTTCTAGGACACTTGCATGAACTAAGACTATTAAGGAAACTTCAGTGAAGTATCAAAAGCTATAAAACAACATTGTTTTCACTTATATTGAATGACACATTATAACCACTCCATTTGGAAATTTTCATGTATTTTTAAATACGTGTATTCACTAAAGATAAAACAGTGTGTTGTAAAATTATAGACCACAAGCTAAAAAACAGAACTGAACTCTAATCCCAAGTAATCTATAACTTTAAACTTCTCTGACTTGAATCCCAAATCTATGAAATACAAGTAAACAGGAAAATATATAGACCATATGTTTAATACTTATGTTGGGCTTTTATTCAGAATATCAGATTTATGTGCTATTATTGAAGTAAATTACATGACAATTATTCCCATTTAAATTTATAAAAATACAATTACATTTGAAATTGCTATAGATCCTTTTTCTACAATTTCAAAATCAATGAGATGAGATTTTAAGTCACTTTGTAAAAGACTTATGGCTTAAAAGTTCAAGTACCAAGAAATACTCAAAATTACAATAATATTCAGTTTCACACATCACAAAAATTATATTTTTGCTTCAAAGATGTAATTGCAGATTAGATATATTGTAAACATCTCCACCAGTCCCACTGAGGAGTGGGTATGAGTAGCAACAATCTCCAGAATTGGTAGAATAATAATATCAATAATAGACTGGTCTTTTTAAAAACCTATAGATACGGTTATAGACAGTCAAGAAGCTGGAAAGCCGCGTATCTGATTTGTCCATGACCATACCAATATGCAGATGCCCTTCCAGCAACCCTGGAGGAGTGCTGTGAATGCACGAACTGAGTTCTAGATGTCTTAAATCAAGCCGTGTGAAAGAATCCCAGGCATCCAATCGATGCCTTGATAATTCTTTTCAAAGCTTCAAGGTCAAAACCACATTTTGCCTAGAGACTCGGAGATAAGATTTTCTTCCCCGAAGGAATATTAAGTACACCTACGGATTCCCATCTCTCTGGGAAGGTCTAAATGAAGTCCTGCCCCCGTGCAGTGCGATACAAGGGCTACAAGAGTGCCTCCAGCTCCAGGCGTGATTTAAGCCACTTATGAAACAGACCTTGGGAGGTTGCTGTCCACACTCGGGGTGCTGAATGCAGCAGTGCATATGACGTTTGCGTGGTGATAACAAAGACCAGAAAATTTGGCCCTGCGCTGTTTGACTCCTGCCCGCCCTAGAAGCCTTGGACTCCCTATATGTGTGACTAAATACGCTCCCTTTGACTTTTTCAAAGCACCTGCTGGGCGTCTTGCCGATTGCCTGTCTGCCTACCCGTGCTGAGATCCAGCTGGGGTTAGTTAGCCAAAACCACAACTATCTTCTCATGATCAAAAATGTGTCAGAGGATTTAACTGGAATTGATCATTCGCCCCCTGCTGCAAAAGCTTAAATCAGGTCATCTTCACACACACACACACACACACACACACACACACACACACACCCTTTTCTTCTAATTGAATAAGGGAGGGGGAGAGTTTAGGTTTCATCTGATAATCACAGCTGTTCAGGGTTCAGAAATAAAAATCACCCACTTTGAACGTGGGAAAGAGATTTTTTTTAAAAGAGGGTAAAGGAAGACGGTGAATAAATACTACAATCTCTGAAACTAGACACTTCCGTGGGGAGAAAAACAAAGAAACCACGAGGTTGGAAACAGCACCAACGCATTCCACGCTGTGGGACCCGGCTCGCCCAGCGAACCTCCTGCAGCTCCCTGACAGCAAGTCCCTGAAGGCGCCCGTTCGCCGCAGGTGGGGACGGCAAACTCAGCCCAGCGGGTGCCACTCCAGGAACAACTAAGCGTAGAGCACCGGTGCGAGGACAGCCACTCCTTGCCTGAAGCCTCCGTGCCCAGGCGCCAGGCCCGCTCTTGGAAGCCTGGGTGGGGAAGCCGACGCGGAGTTGTGCAACCCAGAGAAGCAGGGCCATGTAAACACAGACCAACGGCACCAGGGCCGAGGCTAAAGCGACCAAGCGCACTCTCGGACCTCACCTAGAAAAAGGTTCTTCCCCGCCTGCTCCCTAGAGCCACGGGGCGAGCAGACCCCGAAAACCACGGCGCCACTGCCTCCCCCTCCGACCTCCAGGGTCAAACCTCTGCCTTTCTCCGCCCTACACAGCACTTTCAAGGTCTGCTTCCTGGGAGCCGAGAGCACAATAGGTGGCGCGGCCTCTGACGGCTGGGGCAGCCGCCCGCACCTCCCCACCACCGGGCGAAGGCCTCGCTCGGAGGCTGCGGTTGCGCGGGAGGCGGGAGGGAATCGCGCGTTCCCCGTGCCCCGGCCCAGGCCCTCTTCCGAGCTCCGCCCTGCCAGTCCGACCGAGCCGCGCGCCAGGGTCCCGCGGGCGTGGTGGAGTACGGCGGCGGCGCAAACAGCTGCAGCGCGCCCGCCGCTGTCGCGGGTCCTCACCCGGCTCCAGGGTGCAGAGCAGCCGGGGCGCGGTCCGGGAGATGCAGCTGCGCTTCTTGAGCACATTGCTCAGGATGGTGCCCACGCCGCCACCGCCACCGCCGCCGCCGCCGCCCTGCCGCTTCAGGCATCTTCCCCCGCGCCTCAGGGAGCCGCTCAGCTTGTCCTGCCGCATCCGAGAGCGCCCCGGGCTCCTGCGCGGCCACCGTCCGCCTTCCGCCCCACCGCCCAGCCGGCGCAGAGGTTCTGCGCGCGGGGCTCGGTGCGTCGGCTGCGGTGAGGGGCCCTCGGGAACGGCGAGCGCGCGGCCGGCGCCCCGGGACCGAGGGGACGTGCGGGGCAGCGCGGGAGCCGCGGAGCACTAGGAGACCAGCGGGCATCTGCAGTGCGGAGCCTACACGGAGGAGGCAGGAGAGGGCTTGGGGCGGGGATGAGGGCGGGAGCAAGCGAGCGAGCGCGCGGGAGTCGGAGGCGGCGCTCCCTCCCGCCCCCCATCCCGGCCTGGGCGCGCGCCGGGGTGGGGGCAGAGGCCTGCACGCCGGAGGAGCGGCGGAGCCCGGGGCGGCTGGAGACCAGCAGCGACTACGCGCTTTTCCCCGGAAAGGAGCTGAAGTGGGGCACGCCCGGGCTCAGAACGCCAGCGAGACCGGGTGTGCGCCTCACCCCGTAGCCAGCCAAGGAGGGGGCCGGCCCCAGGGCCAACCAGGCAGCTCGGCACAGAAGCTGGCAGATGGTGAAGAGCAAAGGCTCATCCCAAATTGCCCTAAAGTCTCTCCAGGCAGCTGAGAGAGGCGTGGGAAGATGAGGGGAGAAAATTGTAATGTCTGTTTCTCTTGGAAAAATGGGCTTGGAGAAAAAATGTTCATTAATTTAAAAGCATATTTTAAAAGAAGTGTTTCCTCCTGTCTCCAGTCTGAGACTTCATTAGTTTTAAACTAGTATTAGCCATCAATATTCTTTATGTAATTCGTGGGGCGGGCATTTGGCACAGCGGGGTTAAAGCTGTCGCTTGGGAAGTCTGCGTCTCGCAGTGCCTGGTTCTAGTCCCAGCTCCTCTGCTACTGAGCCAGCTGCCTACTAATGCACACTCTGAGAGGCAGCAGGTGGTAGCTTAATTACTTGGGTTCCTGCCGCCCACGTGGGGGACCCTGGTGAAGTTGCTGCTTCCAGCCTTTGACCTAGCCCAGCCCTAGTTGTGTGCCGCATTTTGAGAATGAACCAGCAGACTAGCGCATGGAAGATATCGCTACCTCTCTATTTCTACTTCCTCTTCCAGCCCTACTCTGGCATGTTTATTTTATAATCAGTAAATTCTGAGCTTGGTAAAGTGTACCCAGAATACAAAGACAAAGGCAGACATGGTACAACTCTAAGCATGAAATGCATAAGAATCTGTTAAAATGAGATGAGCCATCTCCAAAAGTAAACCAAGCTAATAAGCATGTATAAGCGATTCAGTTTCAGCTGCTTGCCGGGAGTAAAGAAAAAAGGCATCACTTCAGAAGACGAGGTCATTGTTTAACCTGGTCATGATGGAGGGTTTGGCTTAGATTTTCCAATCTTTTGCACCAAGCTTAGGTACAAAAATCTATCCTTCGTCAGCCCAATGCTTTTACAGCTTTGGTACGAGTTTGTTATCCTTCAGGTTTTTTTTTTTTTTTTTAATTTTAATGAGCCATCTACTGACTGACCAGAGAATAACAGAATGAGGTCTGATGCTTGCCTTTGGCCAATCTTTTAGATGGCACAACACACGAAGACGTGGTGAACACCCAAAATCAAAGGGAGAGAACTGGCAGGAGAAGGGAAACAAGCTCTCATCTTCAGAGCCTTCATCTCAAACCAGACAGGCCATGGGGCAGGCGCTGTGGTGTAGCAGAAAAAGCCACCAGCTGCTCCACTTCCAATCCAGCTATCTGCTATGGCCTAGGAAAGCAGAAGATGGCCCAAGTGCTTGGACCCCTGCACCTATGTGGGAGACCTGGAAGAAGCTCCTGGCTCCTGGCTTTGAATCGGCCCAGCTCTGGCTATTGCAACCATTTGGGGAGTGAACCAGCAGATGGAAGACCCCCCCACAC